TGGGGCGATGCCTGCAGCCGAGCGGGGCAGGAGCAGGGGAGCACAGGGTGCCCCTTGCCATGGCGGGGGCATCGTGGGGCTGTTGGTAGTGCATCACCTTTGCAGATGCAGCTGTAGGCTCAGACCAGGCACTTCCCAATGCCCCAAAGGCTGCAGTGGGATCAGGGCTGGGGTTTTCTCTCTTCTCTGCCCCTCGTGTGTCTGGAGCAGACAGCGGCTCCGGGGAGGGGGCCAGACGCTGCGCCAAGTGCAACAGCACAGCTCTGGTATCTCCGGGGCCACGGACCCAGTGATGAACTCCCCTCAAATTAGCAACTGGCGTCAGATGATGGGGTAAAAATAACCCAGGAGCAGGGAAGGGCTTGCCAGGGGTCAGAGCTGCTGCCTGCTCCGGGGCTGGGAGGATTTGGGTGCTCGGGGGGCTCTTGTCTCTCTCAGCATCCAGGGGCGCCTGGGCTGGTTTGGGGCTCGGAGGCTTCCCGTGGGGGTCGCTCAGATCCTGACCCCAGACCACGTGGCAGCACCGGGCTGTGGGGAGAGGCCGGGGGCACTGGAGCAGGGCGGAGGGGCCTCATGGTCACCAGCTCAAAATAGCCCCAGGGAAGGAGAGAGGGAGCAGGACATCCCGAGGCAGGTGCCGCGCTTCCTGGAGCGGAGGTGCTTGGGGAGCCCCCGACCGCTCCCGCTGCTCCCCCCCATGCCGCGTGTGCTCCTGTGGCAATGCGTGTGCGGAGGAGGCGCGTGCATGTGCACACATGCCGGCTCCACGTGCGTGCCCGCGGCGTGCCAATGCCTGGGTGCGTCTCATCTCAGCAGCTGGGTTGCTTTTCCAGTCGAGATTTCTATTCTCCGGGGTTTTCTCGGGGTTTCTGCTTTGCTCTGGCAAGGGCTGACTTTCCCCCAGGCCCAGGGGAGCCGGAGGCAGCTGGCTGGAAGGTGGACAGGAAGAGGAGAGGTGTCTTCAAGGAGCCAAGGGCACTTCTCCCTGCCCCAGCCCAGCCGCCCGGGGACCCCGGTACCCTGAAGGGCCACAGCCAGGGAGGGACGCCCAGCATCTGTGCTGGTGACACTGGTTTTCAGCCAGCGTGAAAAACAAAAGCAGTGGAAAGATGTTGTGGATCCTGAAGCCAGGCCACCTTCTCCCAGGCGGCGAGGAGTTGTGCCTGAAAGGCAGAACCACTGGTGGGAGTTATACCGGGATACGTTCCTGCCTGCATCTGTCCTGGCGTAACAGTTTACTAGAGGCAGACAAGCTAGAGAAGGGAGCTGGGTATCCCTGTGTCTGTCCCTGCTCCTGGGCGTCTACCCGCGTACAGCAACCACTGTCTGGCCAGTAAAGCCCCTGGCAGGAAACAGGGAGCAGGGAGCAGATGATTTGCACGTACCCAGGCAGAGAGCAGACAGACACACCGTCTGCCCTTCTCAGCCCAAGCTGGTTTAGTTCCCAAAACCTATACAAGATCAGGGCAGAGCTCGGGAGCCTGCAGGTGAGGGGGCAAGATGGGGAGCAGGCTCCATCCGTCCCCCCTTTGGCTGCCCCCCATGCTCTCCCCTGCCGGGCTGGGTCTCACTCTGCTATGCCCCCCGCAGATGAAGCTGCTGCCGCTGCAGCAGAAAAAGGCCCACGTGATGGAAATCCAGCTGAACGGAGGAACGGTGGCTGACAAGGTGGACTGGGTGCGCGAGAGGCTGGAGAAGCAGGTCTCCGTGCACACGGTCTTCAGCCAGAACGAGCTGGTCGACGTCATCGGGGTGACCAAGGGGCGCGGGATGAAAGGTACGGGGCGCTCAGCATGCGGCGAGTTAGGATGGACACGCCGCGCAGGGGTGCCGCGGGGGCAGCCGTTATCTAGTGGCCAGAGGAAGACTGGAGTTACGATCCCACCGCTCACACCAATGCTCCTCGTGGCTCTGGGCAGCCTGTCTCTGCCTCAGTTTACCCTCTGTGAGACCTAGGCAGCCATATGGACTGCCAGGTATCCGCTGCTTCAGGATCTGAAGAAAGCACTTAGCACGACTGGGAATAATCGTTATCCCACCGTCTCTTGTGACTGGGGCACAGCTTCTGCTCCTCTGCCAATGAACCATGAGGGGTTGTTAGGAGGGGGCAAAAGCTCTGTGGGTGCTTGCTGGTTAGCCCCAGTGCCTGGCTCCCTCCCTGATGGTTTGCTGTTGTCAGCTGGCGATGGCTGTAGGGCTGCGGCTTCTGCTGGCCCGGAGAATGGAAGAACGGCCCAGGGTCTGGTCCCCGGAGCAAGCTTCTCCCACATGCTGCAGCCCAGC